TATTTTAAGATGGTGTTTTGCTAATTGCTGAGGCTGGCCTCCAACTTGGGATCCTCCTGCCTCAGTCTCCAAGAGTTGCTGTCTAGGTGTACACCACCATGCCTCTTGACTAGATTCACTGAAGAAATGGTATATTTGGGGCTTGGATTGTAGCTCGGTGGTAGAGCGTTTCCTAGCACACATCAGGCACTGGGATCATTCCTCAGCACCACATAAAAATAAATAAAGTAATGGTATTTTGTTCATGTACAACTTTTTAAAAAAGAAAGAGAGAGAGAGAGAGAGGGAGGGAGGGAGGGAGGGGGAGGGAGGGAAGGAAGGAAGGAAGGAAGGAAGGAAGGAAGGAAGGGAGGGAAAATTTTAATTTTTTTCTGGTACTGGCCCTCTACCACTGATACAAGGTCTTGATAAACTGCCCAGGCTAGTCTCAAACTTTCACTCCTCTGACTCAACCACATAGCAGGGATTACAGGAATGCTCCATTGTGCCCTGCAGAAATGGTAATTTTAAGTAGACAGGAAAAAAACTTTTCATATATCAAATTTTACTACCAAATGCAAAAACTTGGACTGTCTTATTTCTAACTATTTAAAACTTTATAAAAAAAATTTTATAGTTGTAGATGGACAGAAAGCCTTTATTTAATTTGTATATGGTGCTAAGGATTGAACCCTAGCATGTGCGAGGCAAGTGCTCTGTCACTGAGCTACAACCCGAGCCCTTAAAACTTCTTAATATAACTCAAAGTATACAAATTTTCCCCATTTTGGGGGGGATACTGGGAATTCAACTCAGGGGTACTCAACCACTAAGCCACATCCCCAGCCCTATTTTTGTATTTTATTTAGAGATAAGGTCTTAATTGAGTCATTTAGAGCCTTGCTTTTTTCTGAGGATGGCTTTGAACTTGGCGGATCCTCCTGTCTCAGCCTCCTGAGCCACTGCGTCTGGCCCTTTTCGGCTTTTTTCCCCACACAATATTTTTCCATTTCAAAAATTTTATTTATTTTCAGAGAGGGGTTGATGGGAATCAAACCCAGAACTGTGTGCATGTTAGGCAAACATTCTACTAATGACTTTAAGTGCCATACTTTTTGCGGGGGGGGGGGGGGGGGGGCATACTAAGGATTGAGTACCAATAGTGTTCTATCTCTAAGCTACACTCCCAGTATTTATTTTATTTATCTTTTCCTAGTCTACTTTGAGACAGGGTTTCAACTAAGTTGCTGAGACTGGCCTTGAATTTGTGATCCTTCTGCCTAAGCCTCCAAAGATGCTGGGATTACAGGCACACACCACTGCCTGGCTAGTGTCATAACTTTTTAAAGGCTTTTTTTTTTTTTTGCAGCACTAGGAATTGAACCCAGTGCCTCTCATATGGAAGGCATCAGCCCCTAAATAAAAGTTACAAACCCAGCCTTTCATTTTGTTTTTTAGATAGGGACTTTCTATGTTGCCCAAGCTGGCATCGAACTTGTGAACTTCCTGCATCAGCCACCCAAGCAGCTGGGATTACAGATGTGCACCAGCATACCAGGCTACAATTGATCAGTACTCTTAAATGTATGTGCTAGAACTTATTTTATTTCTTCCTCTACTACTGCACCTGTATATAATCTCCAATTTTCAGAAATAACATCATTGTCAGCGAGGTACCATGGCAGACAACTGAAATCCCAGAGGCTTGGGAGGCTGAGGCAGGAGGATGGCAAGTTCAAAGCCAGTCTCAGCAACTTGGCAAGTCCCTCATCAACTCAGTGAGACCCTGTCTCTAAATAAAATACAAAAAGGGGGGCGGGGGGGGGGGGGCTGGGGATGTGGCTCAGTGGTTAAACACCCCTGGGTTCAATCCCAGGTACCAAACCAAACAAAAAAAAAAAAAAAAAAACCACATCACTGTCACAAATGTACTTCTATACAAAGCTTTTTTAAACATTTGCTATTGTTGTAATTACTGCATCAGGGGAATGAAAGTCTCTTAACGTAACAGTGTACAATCTACCCTTCTACTGTATATAGTACTCATTACAATGTACATCATCAGCATTTAGTCTGTGTGTGGGAGGAAGGGTTACTGGAATTTAACCTAGGGGCCCTGTGTTACTGAGCTACATCCTCAGCCCGTATTTAAAATTTCAGGAAGATTCCAAGCTCAAGCCAAACTTCCCAACTTAGTGAGACCTGTCTCTAAATAAGGAATGAAGCTCAGTGGTAAAGAGTCCCTGGGTTCAATCCTCATTATCACTAAAAGAGAGGGAAGATGCTGGTGAAATGGTTTACTGGTGAAGAGCGGGCTCAGGATGTATCTCAGTGGTAGAGTGTTGGCTTAGCATATGTAAGCGAAAAAAATGGGAACTTAAAAATTTTAAGTTGGGCTGGGGTTATATGACTCAGTGGCAGAGCACTTGCCTAGCACGTGTGAGGCACTAGGTTTGATCCTCGGCAGCACATAAAAATAAAGGTATTATGTCTACCTACAACTAAAAAAAAAAATTTTTTTTTTAAGTTTCCTTATTCTTTGGTTCTTTTTTGTGCATTTGTCTATTGGGACTGGGGTTGTTTGGGTTTGATTGGGTTGGTTTGTCTGTTTTTGCAGTGCTGAGGGTTGAACCCAAGGGCTCTTTACAGAAGATAAATTCACTAAAGAAATGGTAAATTTTATTTTTTCTGGTACTGGAGACTGAATCCAGAGGCCCTTAACACTGAACTATAATCCCAGCCCTTTTTATTTTTTATTTTGAGACAAGAGTCTCACTGAGTTGCCTAAACTGGGCTTTCAATCCTTCTACCTCAACATCCCAAACTGCTAGAATTACATACAGCTGTGTGCCATTGCACATGGTGAGATATTTTTTTTTCCTCTTAAGTTCTTCACATTTTAAACATTAACCCATTTGATTTTCTTTTTTCTTTTAACTCTTTCATTTTCTTTTTTTCAACACTTTTCATATTAGATAATTGAGATCTAGGACTGGGTGCACACTGGCCTGTTATCCCAGTGACTCAGGAGGCCAAGGCAGGAGGACTGCAATTTCAAAGCCAGCCTCAGCAATCCAGCCCTAAGCAATCTAGCAAGACATTATCTCAAAATTAAAAATAAAAAGCCTGGTGATGTAGTTCAGTGGTTAAGCACTCCTGGGTTCAATCTGTAATAGCCCCCCACCCAAAAGAAAGTTGAGATCTGACAAATCTTCCCTTTATTTATTTTTTTTTTCGGGGGGATGGTGCAGGGATACTGGGATTGAACTCAAGGGCACATTACCACTGAGTGACATCCCCAGCCCTAGTTTGTATTTTATTTAGAGACCAGGTCTCAATGAGTTGCTTAGTTCCTCGATTTTGTTGAGGCTGGCTTTGAACTCCTGCCTCAGCCTCCAGAGTCACTAGGATTATAGGCATACACTGCCAGGCCTGGCTATAGTTTAGTTTTTAATCCACTTTTAATTTCATTTAGGGATAATATTGGGGGGGATGCAAATTTTCAAATTAACATTTAAGACAATTCTCATTAACTATCTCACTAGTTCATTAGTACCAAAAAATAAAAATAAAATAAATCCCTAATTTACTCATGTAATGATTTAGTAGAACTACTGGTCTTTCATTACAAATTGAGCAATTAACTTTTTTTTAAAAAACATATTTTCAAACACACATAGAGCTATACTAATCATCATTGGGATGTTCAGAGGGAAAAAAAAATTGGCAGGGGAAAGGCAGTGCTGGAGGATCAAACCCAGACCCTTGTGCACGTTAGGTAATCACCTACTACTAAATGACACCTACAGTCCAAAAATATTTATGCTAAACTGATCATCTTAAGAGGATGAATCTGTTCCTAAAAATAACATTGGGTGAAATCTTAAACAGTCTCTACACCAATTTACCTATATCTAGCTCTTCAAAAATCTAGTATCCAGCTGGGCGCAATAGGGCATGCCTGTAATCCCAGTGGCTCAGGAGGCTGATGCAGGAGGATCGCAGGTTCAAAGCCAGCCTCAGCTATTTATCGAGGCTCTAAGTAACTCAGTGAGACCCTGTCTCTAAATAAAAATATTTAAAAAGGGCTGGGGATGTGGCTCAGGGGTTAAGTGCCCCTGGGTTCAATCCCCAGAACCAACACGGCCCCCCTCCATCCCCATCTAATGTCTGCGTACTGTATTTATAGCATAAGTAATGCTATTCTTCTAAAGAGCTATTTGTTTTTTCCTTTTTTATTGGGGGTGGGACACTGGGGATTGAACACAAGGACAATTTACCACTGAGCTATATCTTCAGCCCTTTTTTTATTTTGAGCAGGTCTCGTGAGGTTGCTTAGGGCCTTTATAAATTGTTGAAGCTGGCCTTGAACTTGCATTCCTCCTGTTTTAGTCTCTCAAATTGTTGAGATTATAGGCATACACTACTATGCTCAGCCAACCTAATCCAAAATAACATAATCAACAGACTAGTTACCATACCAAGGAATATTTAGGCTCAAAGCCCCAACCTTTTTCCATTGTCATGATGTCTATTTCAGACTAAGGGAGATTGTTCCTTTTAAAAGGAATATGAGCTGGGCGTGGTGTCCCATGCCTATAATCCCAGCAGTTTAGGAGGTGGAGGCAGGAGGTTCATGAGTTCAAAGTCAGACTCAGCAACTTAGCGAGGTCCTAAGGAACCCAGTGAGACTTGTCTCTAAATAAAATACAAGATAGGGCTGGGGATGTGACCCCTGAGTTCAATTCCTGGTTACCACACCCCGCCAAAAAAGAGTGAGTAATCTCTTCAAAAATAGATCATCTTTTTTTTAAAAATTTATTTTTTAATTGTAGTTGGACACGATACCTTTGTTTTATTTTATTTATTTGTATGTGGTGCTATAGATAGAACCCAGGGCCTCGCACCTGCAAGGTGAGTGCTCTACTGTTGAGCCACAACCCCAGGCCCCAAAATGGAAAGTCTTAAGGGGAAAAAAAAAAAAAAGTGTTTAGCTTGGTATCAAATATCCATTCCATTACCTTTTGAAATAGTTAGTGCTGGAGACCACTGTGACCGTAGAATATCGAGACAAATGCTGCCATTACTGTTAATATTTGGATGATAAATTCTTGTTGTAAATGCAACCTATAGAAAAAGGAAAATTTTTGTAAATTTGTTTAATAGTATCACACAGAGCACATTAAAAATAATTATCATATCCCAATTACCTTAGGTGGTTTGAAGGGATAATCTGTTGGGAAATGAATTGTCAAGAAAAATACTCCACCCTGATAGGGACTGTCATTCTGTTAATGATAAAGAAAAGTGGAATTAAAAGGAATAAATTACATAAACTATTTATTCTGAAATTAATCTCAATACTTACTGGCCCCATTATTGTAGCTTGCCAATGGAACACTGAAAAAGAACAAGAAAAAAATCACCATGTATCAATCTCCACATTGTACCTTATCAAGTAAGTCATCATTCCCCATCTAATCCATATTCATGTATAATCCATTCATCCTTCCTTTGTTTTCTTTCTTTCTCCCCTAACCCCTTCCTTCTTTCCTTCTGTACCAGGGATCAAATCCAGGGGTGCTCGGGCTGGGGATGTGGCTCAAGCGGTAGCGCGCTCGCCTGGCATGCGTGCGGCCCGGGTTCGATACTCAGCACCACATACCAACAAAGATGTTGTGTCCGCCGAGAACTAAAAATAAATAAATTAAAAAAAAAAAAAAATCCAGGGGTGCTTAATCACTGAGCTACATCCCCAGCCCTTTTTATTTTGAGATAAGATCTGGCTAGGTTATTTGGACTGGCCTAGAACTTATGATCCTCCTGCCTCAGCCTACTGGAGAGCTGGGATTAAAGGTTATATGCCACTGAGCCTGGCTAAGCCACTTTTTCAAATGAATGAAAAGAGCACACCATTGCAGGTATGTCATATGATATGGCAGAACGGCAAAAACTGGAATAAAAAATACTGAGAATGACTGCTAGGCATGGTGGTGCATGCCTACAATCCCAGTGGCTCATGAGGCTAAGGCAGAAGGATTGAAAGTTCAAAGTTGGCCTCAGCAATCTAACAAGGCCCTATTCAATCAATCCCTGGTACCAAAACAAAAGAAAAACAAAAACAAAAAAAGAGAGAAGAATGTATCAACTTCAGAAATCTCTATGAGGCTCTTATTACTTTTTTCTAAGCTACTTTAAAATCTCTGACCTACTCCCTAGCCAGTTGTACTTAAATCATCTTGTATTGTTAAAGTGTGTGGTCTGCCCTGCTTGGTATTAAACACAGTAATTATTAATGCTGGACAGGTCAAAAATTAATAATGTAAATGAGATTTTCCACACATGTACATATTTAGTCTCATAATTTATTTTATTTATCTTTTTTATTTATTTTTATGTGCTGCTCAGGATTGAACCCAATGCCTCACATGTGTGAGACAAGCACTCTACCAAGCTATAACCCTAGCCCCAGTCTCATAATTTATTTTATTTATTTATTTTTAAGTATTTTATTTTTATAGTTGGACACAATACCTTTATTTTATTTCTTTATTTTTATGTGGTGCTGAGGATCGAACCCAGGGCCTCACACGTGCGTGCTAGGCGAGCGCTCTACAGCTGAGTCATAACCCCATACCCTCTCATAATTTGTAATTTATAATATCAGTTTTATCTTTAAAATAATCCTCATACTTAGTGATGCCCTAAGCAACTCCCTGGTACCAAAATCATCATTGTCATCATCATTATTTTCCTTTATAGTAAGGAAAGAGAAAAAAAAAATCAGAAAAAAAAAAAACATTCTTAATAAAATCAAGGAACTGGGGTAAATAGTTCAGCAATAGAGCGCTTGCCTGGCATATGTGAGGCACTAGGTTTGATCCCTAGCATCAGAGAAGACAAGATATTCTCATACTCATTTCTGTTTTTTTTTTTTTTTAATATTTATTTATTTTTTAGTTTTCGGTGGACACAACATCTTTGTATGTGGTGCTGAGGATCGAACCTGGGCCCCACGCATGCCAGGCGAGCGCGCTACTGCTTGAGCCACATCTCCAGCCCCAGTTTTTTTTTGTTGTTGTTGTTACTATTTTATTTTGGTACCAGGGACAGAATCCAGGGCACAACCACTGAGACACAATCCCTGCCAAGTTTTTTTAGGTGCCAAGTTCCTTAGGGTCTTTCTCTTTTTAAAAAAAATGTATACAATTTTCTTATACAAATGTTTCTGCCAATCACAATCATTTTTTAAATTGATAAACATTACCAATTTTTTGTGGATTTGTCTGATGTTACAAAACAGAGTCATTCAAATATCCTCCCTTCAAACAAAATTAGAAGATATAGGGGGAAAAGCTACATTGAATCATATTAGAAAAAAAAGGGAAATTATTACTCAACCTATATGGTAAGATCATTTAATAAATTATTTTAGATAGTAGTAAGCATGTAATTTAGACATTAAAAATATATTAGGAAAACCTGGCAAGGTGGTGAGCACCTGTAATCCCAGCAATTTGGAAGGCTGAGGTGAAAGAATCACAAATTCAAGGTCAGCATCAGCCACTTAGAGAAGTCCTAAGTAATGTGGTGAGACCCCTTCTAGAAATAAAAAATAAAAAGGGCTGGAGATGTGGCCAAGCACTTTAAGTGTTCCTGGGTTCAATTCTCCATACCAGAAAAAAAAAAAAAAGACTGTGGTAGGTAAAGCACTCTTGAGTTTCATCCCTGGTCCCAAAAAATAAATAAACAACTAGATGTAATTAATTAACTATTTTACCCCACAAAAATACACAGAAGGAATGAAGGAGGGGAGAGGAATAAACCAGAACAATGAAGATAATGCCTAGCACAGGGGGTTCAAAATATAATAGAAAATGACTGAATGGCTTCTTTCATTGGAAACTAAAAGTATACACTCCCTCCTTTCCTTAGCAAACTATCTCTTAAAACAAGATAACTTTAAGAGATTGTATAATACAGAGCTCCCCAGAGGCAGTGTTATGCTGTTTTACTCCATAATTCCTTTTAAATACTTACTATCATCTCCAACAGGACCTGCAGAACACTGTGCTGGAGGGTCCCTTGCCAGGTCATTTAATTCCTTAAGGAAAAAAAAAAGAAAAGAAATGTATTCAACATAAATGTAACTACATCGTGACTAAATTTTCATTGTTACCAATATTCTGTCCTACTTACTGTTGAAGCTCTTAAGGATCATTCCTTCAAATGAGGATTAGATAGTGAATTTTAAATTGAAGTTACTTTGGACTCTTAAATGCAACTGTATGCTTTTAAAAGTGAGAGGGTATACCTCAGAGGTAAGGATGCTTGCCTAGCAAGCCTAGACACCTGGGTTCAACCCCTATCACTGAAAAAATAGAACAGTTTTAAAGTGTGGCATTTTTGCTTTGTTTAGAATTTAGTAGGTAAATATAGAACTAAGAGCTGGGCAAAGAGCTACATGCCTGTATTCACAGCAACTCTGAAGGCTGAGGCAGGAAGACTGAAAATCTGAGGCCATTCTGTCTCAAAGTAAAAAAATAAAAAGGCCTGGGGGGTAAGTTCAGTGCCCTTGGGTTCAAAATAAATAAATAGATTAGATTAGATTAGATTAGATAGATAGATAGATAGATAGATAGGGGGTTGAGCTTGACATGGTGGCACATACTTGTAATCCCAGCTACTCTGGAGGCTGAGGCTGAAGGATCTCAAGAATAGCCTCAGCAAGTCTGCAAGACCCTATCTCAAAAATGTGAAAAATAAATAAAAGGACTGGGGATGTAGCTCAGTAGTAAAGTGCTCCCAGATTCAACCTCCAGAACTGCCCCCACCAAAAAAAAGAGGACTGACTGAAGTAATAAAACCCATCATAGCTGGGCGGTGCAGTGGTGCATGCCTATAATCCCAAGGGCTTAGGAAGCTAAGGCATAAGGTTCTCAAGTTCAAAGCTAGCCTCAGCAAAACCAAGGTGCCAAACAACTCAGTGAGACCCTATCTCTATATAAAATACAAAATAGGGCTGGGGGTGTGGTTCAGTGGTCACATGCCCCTGAATTCAATCCCTGGTCCATCTGTCCCCACTACATACACACACACACACACACACACACACCCCACCATAAAGCTTTATAGACTGATCTACTTAAGTAATGTTCTACAATCAGATGTAGCTCTTTAGCTGTTTTTGTTGTTTTAGTTTTTGGTATTGGGGATTGAACCCATAGGCACTTTACCAGTGAGCAACAACCCTTTTGATTTTTTAATTTTTAATTTCTAATTTTGAGACAGGGTCTTACTAAGTTGCTTAGGGACTTGCTAAAATGCTGAGGTTGGCCTCAAACTTCTGATCCTCCTGCCTCAGTATTCTAAGTGGCTAGGATTACAGATATGCACCTGGGTGCCCTTACTTCCTAGCTAAACTTGAGAACAGTTAACAGTGGGTATGCCTGAATAATTATAAGGCAGAAAATCATACTATTTTCCCTTGGCTTGGTTTTTTTCTTTTGTAATACCAGAATTGAACCCAGAGCAGACACATGCTAAGCAACTCCTACCACTGAACCACATTCCCAGCCCTTTATTTATTTGTTTGTTTGTTTATTTATTGTGTGTGTGTATGTGTAGTATTGGGGACTGAACCCAGGGCCTTGCTAGACACTGTATACTTTCAGTACCCTTTGTTTTGGTTTCTGATTAAAACAAGTTCTGAAGAAAAACTAGTTTTAGAGTATACTTTACAAGAACAGCAGCAAAATCTAATATTTTTGAATGCTATAAACTATTTATAGACTTACCAATGTTTTATAAAAGTATGGTTTTAGTACTCCAAATATTATATACTAATTTGCAACATTTTTTTTTTTCTGGTTTTGGTGTTTGGTTTTGAACAGTTTGGTTTTTTGTACTGGGGATTGAACCTAGAGGCATTTTACCATTGAACCACAACCCCAGCTCTTTTTTTAAATTTTAAGACAGGGTCTCACTAAGTTGCTTAGGGCCTTGCTAAATTGCTGGGGCTGGCTTTGAATTTGCCATCCTCCTGCAAATCCCAGGCCCCTAAATCACTGGGATTATAGGTGTACACCACAGCACCCAACACATATTTGTTTCTGAGAGTTGTCAGAGTTAAAGTTATTCAACCAGTCACTTTACTAAAACTATTATGCTCTTTACTCCTATGTGTAAACTTGGAGTACAAAGCGTAAGTGGAGACAAGTCTTGGAAAGAAAAAAAAAAAAGGTGCTGAGACTTGAGATCTAAAACATTTCCTGAAGTATTTCAGTTTTTAGATTTTGCTTCCCTACAGATTTTCCACCCATTTCAAGAAGAAATATAATTACTGTATAATTCCCATTCCCAAATATTCCTTCAATATAAGTCAGTATAACTAAGAACTATGGCTTGATTTAAGACACTGACTGCTATAGCAATAGGCTACTATTAAAATATAATTTGAATTTAACAAGCTATTCTGAAGTCTTGCCATGTTCATTAAATGGAATTTCATTTCTGATTTAGCCTTAATCTTTTGCTCCTTTCAAACTGATTTACCTTTTTTTAATGCCAAATGATATCAAGGTTTGACCTCAAGAACTAAGATTTATCTAAGCTGAATTTACAATCCATCAGTACATTTCTTGAGTCAGTATTATACAATCAATTTTAAAAAACTTACTCAAATGTCGGTTAATATACATTTAATACACTCATTGAACACTTCTTTGGTTCAAAGGCAGATATGCATGATGCTAAGTAAAAGAAGCCAGACAAAAAAAGCTTACATACTGTATGATTCCATTTATTTGACATTCTAGAAAAGATAAAACTATAATGACAGAAAGCACATCACGTCAGGCAAGGGGGCACACACCTGTAATCCCAGCAACTTGGGAGGCTGAAGCAGGAGGATCATTGAGTTCAAAGCCAGCCTTAGGGGCTGGAGATATAGCTCAATGGTAGACCACTTGCCTATCATGCACAAGGCCCTGGGTTCAATCCACAGCACGATGACCACCACCACCACCCAAAAAAAAAAAAAAAGCTTCAGCAATTTAGCGAGGCTCTAAGCAACTTGTGGCTCAGTAGTTAAGAGCCTCTGGAGTTGATCCCTAGTAACCCCCCACACAAACATAGATCAGTGTTTCCAGAAGTTGGAGATAAGAGTGAGAGTACTGGTTTCCCGCTAGGAAACTAAGAAATAAATGTTCTTCCCTACTCCAGAAAGAAGGGAACCAGGGAGGCCTTAAGGAACTTCACACTAAGATATGCAACAAACTTTAAGGAGGGTTCTTGGGATTGAACCAGGGGCTTCGCCAAACGACCAGCTGGACTGGCTGCTGGACTGGCTGAAAGTCGGGCTGACCTTGGGTACCACCGTCTTTCTGTGGTTCTATCTCATCAAACAACATGATGAAGATGTTTTAGAGTATAAAAGAAGAAATTTGGGGGGAGTAAACTTTGGAGATACTAATATAGTTTGTTCCATATAATGATTATTGAAGATCTTCTGGATTCACCAATCTATTGAGTTTCAAATGTCAGAGAAAGTTATATGTGAATGTGAAGTCAAAATTTGTGTTTTGCTTGATTAAATGAAAATACTTCTATGTTCTGCAAATAATACATATTATGAAAACATGTAAAAAAACGTGTAAGGTACATTATTAGAAATTCTTAAATACGGAAGACACAATCTTATAACAAGGTCAGTGGTATTTTAAAAAATTCATAAAAGGACTTGTTCTAGGGGCTGGGGTTGTGGCTCAGTGGTCGAGTGCTCACCTAGCATGCATAAGGCGCACTGGGTTCGATCCTCAGAACCACATAAATGTAAAATAAAGATATTGTGTCCACCTAAAACTAAAAAATAAATATAAAGAAAAAAAGAGTGAGTGTACTGAATACAAACGGACAGGAGGAAAATTTGGGGGTGATGGAAGTGTTCTGTATCATAATTTTGGAGAGTGAACAACTTACATATACTTATCAAAACTCAAACTGTATAATTAAAACTTTAACTTAAGGGGCTGAGGCTCAGCAGTTAGCACACTTGCCTGGCATGTGTAAGGCCCCGGATTCGATTCTCAGCACTGCATATAAATAAGTAAATAAAATAAAGGTCTATCAACAACTAAAAAATTTTAAAAAAAAATTTAGCTTAAAATTGTTGAACTCAACTTTGAGATACATATTACAAATGTAAAATTCAACATCTCGGAGCTGGGGTTGTGGCTCAGTGGCAGAGCGATCACCTAGCACACGTGAGGCACAGGGTTTGATCCTCAGCATCACATAAAAAATAAAATTTTGTGTTCACCTAAAACTCAAAAAAAAATTCAACATCTTGGGGCTGGGGTTGTGGCTCAGAGGTAGAGCGCTCATCTAGCATGTGTGAGGCATTGGGTTTGATCCTCAGCACCACATAAAAATAAAATAAAGGTATTGTGTCTACCTATAACTAAAAAATAAATATTTTAAAAAATTCAACATCTCAAAGTTGTTTATTTTTGTGGTACTGGGGATTGACTCCAGGGCCTTACATATACTAGGCAACTGTTCTGCCACTAATCTACATTTTCAGCCTTCAAGGTTGTTCACTTTTGCTGAGCACACCTATAATTCCAGCTCTTTAGGAGGCCAAGACTGAAGGACCTGAGGTTCAAAGCCAGCCTGGGCAACTTAGCCAGACCCTGTCTCAAAATAAAATAAAAAGCACTGGAGGTATAGCCCAGTGGTAGAGCATTCTAGGAAAACAACTTTTCTACAGAAAGAGCAATAGAGAAATAAAAGTATGTATAATTAGATTCTGGGAAAATGTAGGGGAAACCTGGGCATGGTGGCGCACGCCTGTAATCCCAGCGGTTTGGGAGGCTGTGACAGGAGGATTGCAAGTTCAAAGCCAGCCTCAGCAAAAGCAAGGCAGTGAGACCTGGTCTTTAAATAAAATACGAAATAGGGCTGGGGACGTGGCTCATGGTGGAGTGCCCCCGAGTTTAATCCCTGGTACCAAAAAACATTAAAAAATAAAAAATAAAGAAAAACATGGGGAAGTCAGTGAAGCCTGTCAGTTAAACTAGAAAATCCTCAAATTATAAAAAGATT